TGGGGGCTGGCTGGTTTGCCCTGAAGGGTGTCCTGGATCAGGGTGGGAGGGTTCCCTTGGGGGGTGGGGCAGCCTGGGCAAGGGCCCTGTGGTAGTTTGCAGGCTTGCCATGTCCCCATTGGGGTGGGAGTCCCCACTGGCGACAGTGCTGGCCTGGGCAAGGGGCTGAGGCAGTTTGCAGGCCAGCCATGCCCCCATGAGGTGAGGGTCCCTGCTGGGGGGGTGTGGCCAGCCTGGGTAAGGGGCTGAGGGCTGTTTTCAGGCTGGCCACACTCCCTTCAGGGTGGGGTCCTTATTGGGGTGCCTGGCCAGCCTCGGTAAGGGTTTGATGGCCTGTTTCAGGCTGCCACACCCCCAGTGGGGACCCTCCCCCATGGGGGTGTGGCCAGCCTGGGTAAGGGGCTGAGGGCCATTTTTAGGCTGGCCATGCCCCCTAGCAGGGACCCTCACCCCGATGGTGGCGTGGCCAGCCTGGGTGAGGGTCTGAGGGCTGTTTTCAGCAGCCAGCCCGGGTGACCCAAGCCTCCCGTTGTCTCCGGCCTGCTCTGTGGCCACTGCCCACAGGCCCCTCCTTCAGTGGCCAGCCCAGGCAGGCGGGAAGCTTGGCTTCCTCCATCACCAGGGGTGACCCAAGCCTCTTGCCCGCTCTGGCTGGCTCTGTGGCTGCAGCCATCTTTGCCCCACTAATTTGCATATTCCCTCCTGATTGGCTGTGGGGCATCACAGAGGTACAGTCAATTTACATATTTGTCTATCATTAGTGTGTGTATAACCCATAGGCATAACCCATAGGCATAGACAATAGTGCAAGAAGGCCTTGGAAGGGGTGGCAGGAATGGGGTAGAGGGGGGGTCAATAGAGGAAAAATGGGACATCTGTAATACTTTCAACAATAAAGATAAATTTAAAAAAGAAAAATACATGTGGATATGATGGTGATATCTTGGAAGTGGACTGTGAATACAGTGATGAATATTTCAGGGTGGAAACTCTAAGATCCAAATATGGCTGGGAACAGGTTATTTTAAGAGGCTTCATTAACAGATGTTTTTGTTAGACATCCTGGGCTCCCAAACCACCAATTGCTGTCAAATGACATCTGCCACTTAGGAAGGATGGGAGGGAGGGAAAGAAGCTGGGCTTTAAGGGCTGATGTTGTTTCGACTAATTGTGGATGTCCTACAGCAAACTGCTGTATGAGGGGAGAGCCAGCAGTGAAGTGGAGGTGCTTGTTGAACTTAGGCATCTAAAGCAAGACTGGCCCTTGGCAAAACTTTCAAGTTTATGACATTTATTTTAATGCTCTCAGGGCCATTGAATAATAGAGGAATTAATACACTGAAGACAATATTAGGGACCTGCTCATATTTGAGGCTTTGGCAATTTGTCCTTGGCACTTGAACAATATGTTTCAAACTTTTTTGCCTAATAGGCAGTCAGAATTAAATTATATACTGGTAGGTCTGGGGGCAATGAGGGATTTCAATGTTTTGTGTCTACTAGAGGTGATGAGACAATTGGGGGCAGGAAAAAAGCAGTGACAGTATTAAGTCTAGCAGCCAGCAGTTTAAGGAAGAGAAGCTGCAAATAATGGAATAAAGAGCCTGGAAGATTTCTGAGATTCAATATAGGCACCCATATGTGGGTAGCATAGCCAATGAGTTAACTTTGTGAAGGATAGGGTGGTGGAGGACGGGATGGTAATCTATAAAGCTCTTTTTGAATAAAATATAGTTCCTCTATATTTTGTCCCATCTACTATGATTAGTGTTAGAGTGGCCTCTTAGAAGCTATACATCTTCAGTGGGTTAAAGTATTATGTTTCTAGGAAATGGTTAACCAATTAGTAAAGATTTGTTTTTATTTAAGTAGTTCTTTAGCACTAATTTTCACAAGCAGAGCTGGAGGTTTGGAAGAGATGTAAATCAGAGTTGTGAAAGTTTAGGGATGGAATACATTCTATGTCGTGGGTGACCACAAGTATAATTAATAAAGGTTGCAAGCCTCTAGATTCTGGCTACTCACACTGTAATGTATATTATCTCCACATGCAGTGTAAGAACCCTAAAGAGATTAAGCAATTGTGGTCAAGATCACAGAACTTGGATGACCCCCATATTTTGAACTAGAGTTGTCTTGCTCTAAAGTCAATTTGCCTTTTCAATTATACAACATTGTCTGAAGAAGGGTGGAGTTGACCTGAAGATTACATTTTTCTATGCCACATTTAAAAACAAACAAACAAACAAACAAACCTCTATTGACTACAAATAATCCTATATAAGGCTAGATGGCAACTTGGAAAGTACTTAGAACTATCTATATCTATCCCAAAGAACATATAAAGATTATAGGCTATTCTTCATCATGAGTTATTTTCTAATTCCTATACATGCTTTAAATTTACTTCCTAGGAAAAAACAAATCAGTGTGCAGGGAAAATGAAAACTGGTTAGAGCTAATTGCATATGAACTTTCCCTGAAAAATGACATTAGAAAACAATGCCATTTGTATTTGATTAAAATGAGTGTGTGGGCTCATTTGTCTGCCTTCACCACCACTATGTGAAAATGAAGCAGCTTAGTTTTCATTTTCCTTTTCTCTCAAAATGCCCAGAGGGGCAATGTTTTTGTTTAATGACCTTCAAAATTATTCTTTAGAAATCCGAGGCTACCAGAGTTGGAAGCAATGCGAAAATAATTGTGGATTATTATTGTATGATGATAATGGCAGCTGGGCTATCTTTTTTTCTTTCTGTTCAGACTTTCTTCTTCATTTTCCCAGAAACCTTATATTCTAAGGTTTAACTCAGAAGCAAATCTCATATAGGTGATAAACCTCGCCAGACAGTGTGTATAATATAATTTCAGACAGACCCTTAACTGTTCTTTGGAAAGATCCTAGGGAATGAAGCAGTCTTCTGTCTGGATTGCCCTAGATAATATTACTTTTATTTACTCTCTGACAATATGTGTGGGTAGTTGTATTGGACATAAAGCAAGCATATCTTCTAAATATTATACCTGTGAACTTAAGTGCTGGTTTTTATATTTTGTTGTAAAAATTCCTGCTATCATAAAAGAAAAAAGTTACAGTAAAAAAAAAACCAAACAAACAAACAAAAAAAGCAAATATTAATAAATGGGTACTCAGTACTTGCTCTCCCAAATCATTTATACACATACACAGAGACACAGACACACATGCAGAGCTGCAGATAGAGTGTCAGTACTGATTCTATCTTTACATTAATTTTAAAAGTATGTGTGAGGGGGGGTGTGGGTGTGGGTGAGGAAAAGTAGAGAGGATATTTTTTTCTAATATATTTTTTATTGATTTTAGAGAGGAAGGGAAAGGGAGAGAGAGAGAGAGAAACATCAATGATGAGAGAGAATCATTGATTGGCTGCCCCCTACTGGGGATTGAGCCTGCAACCTGGGCATGTGCCTTTGACCAGAATCGAACCCAGACCCTTCAGTCCACAGACCAACGCTCTACCCACTGAGCCAAACCAGCTAAGGTGAGGATATTTTTTATACCATAGTTTGGACAGTGGAAAGTGCTCTCAACTATTATTCACAAAATTTGTCTCACCATCAATTTCATTGCCTTAACTGAGAGATTCAGAATGCATATGATAAAATGCGTTGCTTGATTATTTAGCACTCTCACAGCCATCTCTTACACCTCCATTTATATTTTTACAGTTTTTAGTTACAATTTTGGTTGAACATTTGAGATGAATGGCAAACAAACTGGAATAATATCTAAAAAGTAGACCGAGAAAATCCACAAATGACAAAGCCACCTGATTGAATATTCTTACACATTTAGCTATTGCTATATCCTTGTCACTTCCTGGAAAAGAGTAAACA